CGGTTACCGTAGACGAGTGTGCACGACGATGACACACGCATACGGCTTTTGGCTAGCTTATGGATCCACACGGGATCCTGTAGGAAGTGGTTTGTAGTGGCTGGATGACAGCAAATGTGCCGGCAACAGGCGAATATAATTAAAAAAGCAGCTTGAGTCGTAGCTCCTTTAGGAATGATCCTATGGGTGTAAATCTAGGACCACCAGATAGTGTGGAGAATCATTGATCGATCACAGTGTCGTAGCAGTGAAAACCGTTAAAAACAACGGGGTGGCATGTCTGGATAGAAGCACGAAGCGCGCTAAAACTACTTGTGCAGCACAAATCCCTTTCCGTAGAACTTAATTCCTTGCAAATATGTCCACTGAACACGGAGAGTTAATCCGATTCGAATAAGTGTATGATGACTGCACTGGGTTAAGAGGAAGACGTGAAACTCGGTGACAGAGGTGAGCACGTTTACTATGCGAGCAGTCAGGTGAAGCTCAGTGGACCCCAAAGATTTGAATATGTTAGCCGTTAACAAATCCTTCCGTACTCTTTACTTTTATGTAACAGTGAGATCTTCCCTACCACTTGACATTAAAAAAGACATGTGCTTTTTGAAGTTTAGACTTAAAAGGTAGAAAATCGAGTCGCAAGCTTGGCAAGCCCTGTGCAATCCCTAGTAGAAATGTTTGCTCGATTGGAAAGTCGTCTGGTATTTGCTGAGCGCCTGTAGCTTTTGGGTTGAATTGAAACGAAGGTTTTTTTTGCAGAATGCATGCCAGATCTATGATATTTCAGTTTACACTCGCCTGATGCATAATGAGTTTTACTGCAGTTGCATCGCATCAGTTATATAGCCTGAGTCTTTCTATAGGTGGGAGGTAAACTTGCGCAACAAATGCCTCGCGGGTCAATTAGCAGTGTTCTCAGTTGTAACCTTCAATTTTTTGTATATCGCGGGCTGGAAACTAGGAGGAATTATGAATGATGATCGGCCTCTTGCAACCTCACCAATCGTAGTATTCTGAGCTGATTCTTTCCCAATGCCGTTCGTTCCAGAGCACACAAAAAGACGTATATCCCTTCAATGCACATGCTATGAACAATGTGCCTGTAGTAGAACCATTCTCTATGGATCATCGGTGCTAAACTCATTTTAATAGGTTGCAATTCGCCATAGTGCATCTACCTTGCGTTGCCGGCAACTTATGTCAAATTGGTGGGCTTGCTCCAGCATTCATTAAAGTTTTGACTACTGATGTCGTCAGAAGTGCTGCCTCTTAAGAAGATAGTAGTAGACTATAGAACATGGGTACTGCTGTTGGAGCTCCTTTGCTTAATAATATAATTACCAACATAATCTTTTTACCTCTTGCTTTGCTATTCGCGCTAGTGGTGGTCATTACAGGCGAAACTGTGGGATGTCGTCTTATGGTTGCTAGTGTTTGGGTTTGTGACACCGTGAAATTTACGTTGACTTCATGAGTTTAAATTCATCCATGGAAAGACTGGATGCTATTGAACATGACTTGACCTGACTTGCTACGTGCCTGAACCAGCAACTGATTTCCTTGTCTGTGAGGTCCATTTCACTGTCAAGATCCTTGCATACTTCCTTTGCATTACTGATCAGAGCTGTGGAATAAAAAGGCGGTAGACACTACGCCGTTCCTATTGCAGGGCGAGGGACTTATTTGATCCTTCTCGAGCCACGAGTTACTAGGTTTCGCTAGCCTATATTAGTCTTCAACGATGTAACCTTGATGATCAGTGGTTCTTCGACCTATCAGTGGTTACCTTTCATAAATCTCTACAGTTCAATATGGCGTCAATATCGCATACCGATCAGATTAGGATTCGATTTAAACATTCACGTTCCTGCCTCTACTTTGACTGAAAAGTTCTTTGTGTGATCAAAGGTTTCAGCCATGTACACAAAGGGGTTAGGAACACCCACTTTGGATGGCGTTTCGCACACAGCAGTAAGACGCAAGGCAGAGGAAAACACAGAATGTAAGACGACAATGCAAACTAAGATTACGCCGTAGAAGAGTTGCCTGACTGCTCTTAGGGTTCACTGTCAGCTTAGAAGAGCTCTGTTGGATGTAATCCCTAAATTGCTGCGATAAAAGAACAGTAGATCTTTGTGGGCATTTTCTTGAAAAATATCTGTCGAAATAATTCAGTCTCATGAAGCTGTGCCGCTGAACTTGCCTCATCAAAACAAGATCCAGCAGAAAAAATTCGACGATGCTTGTCGGTTGAGCATGCTTCCAAAATGGGATCTAAGATTTTAACTGGTAACAAAGTGAATGACGGGTTCGGTAAATATGCAACCTAGTTGCACAGAGCATGGATCTGTCTACCGTCACCGATGCAATACACTGTGAAGTTAACTTAGCCAATCATGTTACCGGTTCTCTAGCTTTCTTTTGAATGTATAAATTTACAAGATTTTCTATGTTTTGGTCACTTCCACTGTGCATAGTCACTATCATTAAAGATTCGTCTAAGGTTCATTAAATGTTGACAAATCACACACATCAAAATAACCGTAGGTATTCCATTGCAACACGTGCAATATTTGACATGAACGCTTTAATTTAGATTTGCAGTCCAGTAAAAACTTCGATGCCGACAGTCACCTGATTGAACGCATTATTGTATATGTTGTGACTACAGCATAAAAAGATAAGGCTTAGTAAGGGGGCGAAGGTGCGTGTATAATAGTATGTCGATTTTAACACCTACAGTAAACCCCCGCCATATGTATACTAATGAAATGACCATCTTTGTACCCACTTGCAATGCTACAACGGCATACATCTTCAGTAGTTTGCATAGGATATGTGAATATAGGTAAGGTGACAGTCCAGTTTGAAACTACTCATGAAATGAACAAACGCATTGCTTTCACGATTCCACAGCATGAAAATTGCAGTAGTGTGATCAGCTGCTAATTAGATGGCAATCAACGGTCATGGAAACGGAACGTAAACAAGCTTTATAGCACATCTAATTTTAGCATCTAAGCAGCATTTTGATAAGTTTCTTTCAGCCTACCAAAGCAAGCATATCAGAAGTTAGCCGCGGTATAGAGGACTATGAGAACTGGTATGGTTGGCGGTATCCGGTTCCCGAGTTGCCTGTCACTATGGCCTCCATACGATAGCCCCAGGACACCTGCGCCTACAGAGCGAAGATGGGTGGCTTGTGCTGCACCACCCACAGCTCCATCCACCCCTCGCATATCCATTGCAAACCCGAAATAATAAGACCGGGTCGCATGTGGATGGGAGCCACGTTTCATCAACGGGACCGGCTCACACTCCTTTAGCAAGCAGAGCAGAAGCATGCATGCCTAATGGGGAAATCATGCGTATCAAGCGTACACAAGGCGGTGGCTGCGTCGTAGTCCGCTTCACATTTGGTGCATGGAACCAATCTATGAGCTCAGAGCCAGTCTCGCAGGCAATGAGCAACTGTGTTTTAAAACCAGTATAATCGTTGTAGCGGGTTTCGACAAGTAGGTACCTTGTCAACCTTCTTATCAAACATAGTTAGACCGAGAATCTCAAGAACTGAACCAATAACAGGAAAGGAAATAAACGCACAAACGTTACACAGGCTATGCAGCAGAATAACAGGACTGGGTGAGCAAAAAAGCGAAATATTTTTGTTCACATTAAGAAGACTTAGTTTAGTTGTAAGTTTACGTCGGTGTAGCCTAAGTACGGTAAAGAAGCATGGGACAAACGATAACTAGTATACGTAGCAGATAAAAGCGCGAAATGTATTACTACGGCTTGTTATAATAAACTTAAGACCCATACTAGCTGATACCTTATTTTTAATGGCATCTTCCACATAAACCAATGCAGTGCCATAAGCAGTACATAAAAGGAAGACTTACTAGTACCAACAAATTATATTCCTTAAATTTTTGAACGCGGAACAGTCAATATTTAAAATAAAACGATACGGAGATGACATTCGCCTGGTAGTCGTTAATCAAAGCTTTTCAAAACTTCCCGGTATTTGATCAAGCAAATACATCACTGTTCTCATCATATGTACCTTAACATGCGTTAGTATTGCGATTCACATCCTCTCCAGTAGATATTACCGTTACAAGGTAACTAATGGCCGTGAGATGAGATTGAACTGCGGATACTTTACTAAACTGCACAAACGATTGCAGCATTAGTACTTCGTTACATCACAGTGTGTTACAGATTTGCCTAAATTTCATATCGCTTTCAAGGTTATTTTTTCTACCGTTTAATTAACAGTCATTATTTCGTTAACTATCATCCTGCTGATGTGTAAAAAATGCATTGCCATCAAAACTATCCAAAATGGTTGAAATTTGCGAATAGACCGCCTTGCTAAACCCCATGATTCACTCTGGAAATGGTCCTCCCAACACTTTGGAACATCAAAGCTGAGATAATGGTTGGTGTACCCTTAGAAGTTCAGCCGTGTAGTTCTCCATAGCGCTGGCCTGGTCAAGCTCTAAGGCTCATTCACTAGGTTGGGCCCAATGACTGAACTTAGGTCAGCCCACGAGCTAACAACTTAGTCGAAATAACTTGTCATTGTTCATGTTGAAGTGTCCAAGGTTGCATTACTTTCCGCTTTTTCATAGGAAAAGTCAAACTTGGGGTCAAGTTTAGCCGAAAACCATCTCTGACTAAACAGATGCCGGAAGAGAAGAAGTCAACTGCTTTGCGTATTTGCCCCATCTACCTTTGTCCACCATTGCATGCTATAGCATTCTAAAGGGCTTCTCGTTTTCTAATGTGAAGATATCAATGAATTTCGACTCCAGTGGATTGAACAAATCTCTCATTCAGTGGAATCTTACTGTTAACAGAGGCCGCTGTTAATGACGATGGTTTTGCTTTGTTAATAATTCTATGGTCTGGTAATATAACCAAATTACCTATTTAATTGTGTCAGCGGTTCCAAAGAACAATGACCACTTTTACCCCAATTTTCCTGTCTGTAGTTTCCGAATCACGTACAAATTCCGTGAGTGTTGGACGTGTGTTATCCGAAGCACATGGTAAGTTTCACTGTACGCCTTGCCCTTACGTTAATGTGCCCCCTGCACGTTAACTCGTGCTTACTTATTTCATGAAAGTAACTTGGTCAGCTTGTATTTTAATATTACACAGGTTTGATAATTGGCACAGCCTATGGAACCGTCTTGCAAAACGATAAGGACTTCCTGTGCCACAAACAAGGGTGGCTATGGTTGACGGTCTGTAGGTAGTTTTGGGGGCTTAAGTGGGCTGCCTCAAAAGTCAATAGAAAAGCATACATGAAATTTTTTAGCTGGCAGTACCCATTCCCCAATATTCATCCTATTTGACTTTCTTAGACGATAAGTGATGCGCTGGGTAATTAGCGGTGTTTGTTGTGATTTGCAAACAATTTTAACTAGGTAAACTTGTGTCAAGTCGTGTGAAACCCAAATAAGATTTATCAGCCTAAATCAGTCCATTGTTCACGTTTACACTACCACTGCGGATGTACTGGAAGACAATATGAAGAAAAAAACATCAACTTTACGAGACAGAAGTAAAATGTACACTCACTCTACCAACTGCATGCGGAGTATGTTTAAGACTTTCATCGGGTCAGCAAGTGTACTTGAAAGGAAAAATGGGATGCGATGAATACCAGCCAGCAAACTAAGTTTTAAACACGTAATAGTCCAGCGTTTTTCAAAGGCCGATGTGGAGTGGATGAAACCGGTCATTTGAACCTTAGCTGAAAAAGTACGGCGGGCATCAGGAAGGCAAGAAATGGACAAATCTACTAAATGCTCTCTCTAGACACACTGTCGCATCTGGAAATGTGCTTTATGGATCGTACTTGTGAGGTGTGCTCTTTCCGATGCCTTTCAGGGAGTAAGTTAAATAGTGTGGATAATTTCTGAAGTCACACCTTAAATATTACTGTACGGGGTACCGGAGGTGCCTTAACGTTGAATATATTAAAAGATGGTTTCATAGTCGCTCAGGAACAAAGAGAGGTTTTTGGACAAATGGATAGCAAAATAATTGACGGTAGACTGTACGAACGAGAGTAGCCACGGAAATTTAGAGGACTTACCGTGAGATGCAGCAACTGTTTAACTATGGAAACTGGACTAATCACTTTAAGAAGCTTATGAACCAAAATTATTCTGGTAAAGTTCTTGCGCGTGCCTTGCATCTTCAACTTACAAGACGAGCTCGTCATTGTAATGACATTGAGGCAGTTCAACTAGAGATCAGCGGCTTAGGTTTCTCATAATCCGGTTTGAAGGCAAAAAGCTAAAAATCTTCCGTAAGGTATATGAGCAAAATCAGATGTACTGAAAGACATATCGGTGGACTCTCGATATTGTCACTGCACTCACTTGGTTTGATTGCGCTATATATGTTGCACAGAACGCTGACTAAATCATATACTGCAAGTAGAAGAACACATCCTCAAGTCGATTAAGATAGTGGCAGAAATGACACAAATTGGAAGAGTGTTTCACGACTAAGACCTATGAAAGGAGAAAACTTTCCCTCGGCATCTCAATAGGCCTTAGTGTGTGGCCTATTTCAAGTAGTGCAATCTTATTGGGGTGGTATGGAAAGTTTTCAAGAACTGACGGTATGGGTAGTTGGAGTATTTGACAATCGGACAGATCCATTTTATCAGACCGGAACTAGTTATGCCGATCACTCACAGCGAACCGAGCTCCTGATGCGTCAACAAATAAAATACTGCTACACCAACACCCAAGGATTGTATTCTAAGCTATCGGAACTGCGCCATCATGAAACAACAAATTGGGACTTCATAGCAGTTACTGAAATTTGGCTCTTAAACGACATACTTGATCCAGAAATTGAAGTCTATGTGATGTCAGACATTCAGAATGATTGACCATCTCGCAGTCGCTGTGTTTCTCTCTATTAAGGAGATTATTTTAAATGTGAGGCTCTTAACGAAAATTCCATTGTTATTCCCGACGCAATATTTTTCCTACTGCACCAAGCAGGCCGAGATGTTGGTTCACAGAAGACGAGTGATGGTTGCCTATTAGCCGTTAACTATAGTCCTCCGAACTCATCAGCACACAGGGAAAACATTCTGTTAAACGCCCTTTGCTATGTTGTTTCACAAAAGTACTCTCACTATCTTATAATACGTGACTTTAATCTTCCTATAATAGCATCAATGTCCCCTAATAGGTCATCATTTAAATCAAAACTCCCAGGATTCATGGATATGGCAGTTTTATATAACCATGTGCATCTACCAACTAGACCGCGGTTCAAATAATCCATCATTCCTGGAATGAATTATGACTTATGAAGAGATGATGGTTGTGTCAGTAGTATACGATCCTCCACTGGGCCGTAGCGACCATTCACTCATAACATTTGGTTATGTGTGTCATGCCAGTATTGTTTCTAAAGAAAGAGCGACGCCAAGAACTATTACGGATTATTTTAAGCTGCGCTACTTAGCAGCAACCGTTGACTGGGACCTACAGAGCACAGATCAGCGAATGACGCGTAATATGAACTAAAATACAGAACAAAATGGGTCATACAATCAGCATAGTAGGTTGTACCATTACGAGCATCGCGCAGGAACAATACGTGTATCCGGAACAGAACATGTAAATGGATAAACAGGAGAGATGAAATCTGGAGGCAACATTACTAAGCTCATATGAAATCACATGGTAGAATTATAAAGTCATCAGAAACTACTGCACGTCACTCGTTAGAGTCAACAAGCAGGAATGGCAGGAGAACATGGTGTTGGAATTTACGAATAACACCAAACTACTAAACAGATTTGTGAATGGCAAAAGAAGGGTTAAACCCGGAATATCACTACTCATAACGGCCAGTAGACTAATAACTACTGTTCTGGATGCCGCGAACGCTGAACTCCTGTAGTTTAGCTCGCTAGCTACAAGTGCCATGGAACTTCGCCTTATCAACACCCAACAAATGTCTTTGGCTTATCCAGCGTCATCTTTCCACTGCAGCTGTTTCAAGCAAATTATAGTTTCTCCGGGAGAACAGTGCCCCTGGAATCGACGTGCTGCCCAAAAAGTACTGAAAACCCTATCCCCACCATAGCAGCACCATTTGCAGCATATTTCCAGGGTCTGCTTATCTCCCATACACTCCCATCTGAGTAGAAAAATGGAATTATCACTCCAAATTACAAAGATGGTAAGCGATCGGTTCATGCCAACTACCGACCTGTTACACGCCTTCCAGCTTTATCAAAAGTAATGGAATCGATAATCGCAGATGAACTGACACGGTACTTTGAAAATCAACAAATAATTTCTAGTGCCCAACATGGTTTCAGACGCAGACGATCTTGTCTCACCAATTTGCTGTTTACTCGGGACTCACGGACCAGGGCGGTTGATGAAGGAGTCCCCATAGTTGTGATTTACTTGGATTTTTCTAAAGCATTCGACAGGATCAATCATTTCTTTCTCCTCCAAAAGCTTACTGCCAACGGTATCAACGGTTCTCTGTTCACCTAGTTAAAAGACTACTTACACGACAGAGCAATCAGGGTAAGAGTAGCCGGAACTTACTCCGCAATCCTGTGCGTCCCCAGTGCTGTACCACAAGGCTCCGTCCTGGCCCGCTACTGCTTATAGTCGAGATTAATGACCTTCCAGCATACATTCTATCACCGATGCGAATATTTGCAGATGATACTAAAATATGGAGAGCAATTCGCTCAGCATCCCACCGTGTCTACCTCCAGGAAGATCTGACTCGGATTAAGGAATGGGCAGAAAAGAACCAGCTTCTACTGAACCCTACAACGTGCAATCTGCTGACGGTGCACAGCAGCTTCGTCAACACACCGTTTAGGACAACACGTGCTGCCATACGTGATTAGTGAACGCGACTTAGGTATAATAGTGCAAGGGAGTCTTGGCAATTCGCTGCAATGTTCGCAAGCAGCGTGTGACGAACTTGAAATTGAGCCTTTTGAGGCGTGCTCTAGGCACCATCGAGCGACGGCTAGTAACATTGCTGATTAACTCCTACGTTCGTCCTCATTTTGAAGATGCAATTCAGGCCTGGTGTCAATGGTTAAAACGAGACATTCGCCTACTGGAACAACCCAAAGAAGAGCCACAAAGGCAACGCGTGGACTAACCGGTGTAAGTTACGAACTGCTTCTTCGCCTACTCGGTGTGTTCTCATCAGAATACCGACGGCTTAGCGGAGATCTTACTCTCACATACCAGATACTAACTGAAAAGGAGCAATCATGTGAATCACTGTTGACCCTAGCCCCTTACAAACAAAGCCGAGGCAAGCACCTGAAACTAATAACGCAACACTCCCGTCTGAATTGTAGAAAGTATGTTTACTCACTTAGAATCTGTTCTCACTGGAATGCATTGCCAAGATATGTGGTGAACGCCCCAGACATGACGACATTCGAAAGACTCTTAGACTTTCATCCTAGTGATAAACGCTACATAACATTTTGATAAAGTGTAATGGTTTAATCACTGATACTTCGCATTTCACGTTGAAACATTTGGATTTTAATTTTCTTGTGCATATCCATCCTGTGTGTCTTGTAAAGTTATGCTATTTTTCCCATCATACACTATTGAACTATTGAACCCCACAGAGGACGCCTATTTTATTGGGATAGATGCAGCGTTTTCATATTTTAGTAAACTTTCACTGTAGAGTCCCAAGTAAAGCTAAATAATGCTTTTGCTAATTTTGAAAGGCATATTCCGCATAAGTCCTCGCGCAGGAGCTAAACATTCGTGAAAATAATGTGGGAGCGAACCAACTAAACGCCCTCTACAAGAGACTAATGGTTGACCAAGTATTCTCGTTGCTTTTTCGACCTGCATTGACCGGCCGTGTTCAGCATGGACGGACACTCCGCGATCACTTCCAGTACTGTTGTTTTCTCCGATGATGTGTGCATAGTGTTTTAGGTTTGACTGCGTTAAATCGGACGAGGTTTTCTACAGACTAGCCCTGTCGAAGTCATCTTGAAGTACCAATATGTACTAGGTATTCGTCTATTGTTTTGATAATCAGAAAAAT